CGGGACTCTTCCACGAGAAGGTGTCCACCGCGGACACATTCACGCTGGAATCGAGGGTCTCGCATCCATCTGCTGTGCCTGACACGCCTTGTCGGTGGAAGAGGGATAGCTCGAAGCTGGTGGTGTTGGGGTCGCAGCCTGGTGAGAAGAGGCGGAGGTCCCACTGTATATCATTGGTAAGGTGTTAGTGGTGGTGGGGGGAATATAACAGTTTTGAGGATGGGAGGGGAGGAGGGGGAGGGCGAACGTTTTTGTAACGGAGGGTTTCTAAGGAGGAGGTGTATGCCCCTGGGAGAATGGGAAGTAGGGTGGTTATGGTGGGGAGGGGGGTGAACTTCATTGTTGATACTAAGTAGTGATAATCACAGTAACTATTCATGGGAAGTCAGAGGAAATAATAGGAGGAGGCTGGGCTGTCTATATTTATATCATACAGACAGTCCCTGCAGATCAGGCACGCTAGTGCTTCACATCTCCGCTAATGCAGGGATCCGGACCAAAAGAGCGAACGAACCATGGGCTCGCTTACCCTCGCACAAAGTGTCATCTGGATACTTTCAATGCATCCGTCTGATTCTTCATTCATGTCTAGACTCTTGAAGGTTTTATGCTATATTTAAAATACATCGTGGAAACGGACTGGCTAGTGTCTGCCCGGGGTTAATCTCCACGCCCGGAGTGGCAGACCTTGCAGTTTCAAAACAGCCGGCCGGATGAAGAAGAAAAATGTCACTACGCCAATCAACACACACAGGATGTTTGTCGTGTAGTATCCGTCGTGTTGGACGTGGCAGGTGCCTCCTCCGTTGACGCAGCGCGTCCGGTCTGGCTCCAGTGCACATGAGAAGGCCTCCGTGACGAGGTCACCCTTTAGTTTCTCGGCCGGAGGTGGCACCGTTGGTGGAACACATGTTGCCTCGGTGAACATGTCCACTAGTTTAAGGATGAAGTATCGGGGGAATGTACCGCCCAAATTGGAGACACTGTTAGATGATTAGTGAAGGCCACTTGCAGGGTAGAGTAATAAAACTTACGTTGCGAGCATCGTCATGTAAGTACCGCCGATGCTTGGGTCGGCGATGCGCGCATGGAATGCACTCACCGCCACAAACATCACCGTGTTCATGAACGTCGAAAACACATGCTCTCCAATCACTGTCAGCAGGTACCAGAACGGGACCTGCTCGGCCGACGGGAAAATCATCACCGTGATCTGGGCCAGAACGGCTGCCGCCAGTCGTCCGATGAACGCCCAGCACCACAGCCGCATGGGCGTGTACTCCGTCGACCATTTGCCAGCGTAGTATCCCAGCCCGATTTCAAAAGGAAAATCGATCAACACCACTAGCGCCATGTTGTCTTGGCCAAATCCCTTGTCCAACAGCTTCAGACTCGTCACCCCGTCGTTGGCTTGGAAACCAATCTTGGCGATCAGATGGACCAGGATGATGGTGTGAATGTTCTTAAGCTTCAGCACATTCCACATACTGCGGTACACGTCCATGATGCTATCGCGTTCATGCGTCCGGTCTTCCTTCTTCATGACGGCCAGACAAGTCGTAACAACAAGATAAGCCCAGCCCCAGAACTTCAGGTACGTGCCTAGCGACAGCAAACCACCTTCCGCAGGAACGGCCCGGAACCAGCGGTTTGCAAAATCGGCCGAATTGAAGGCCAAAAACACAGTGTAGGACAGGAAGTGGCCGGCTGTCAATCCCACCGTCTGGGCAGTCGATGCGTAGGAGATATTGGGTGGCGACATGAGGGTAATTGCCCATCCATCGACCGCAATATCCTGTGTGGCGCAGAAGAACACCAACAAGAACCACCAGTATGTAAAGTTCCAGACGCCAGCACCACCATTGGCGCCCGCCTCCTTCATCATCTCTTCAATGCGTCCGCCGAGATAGATCATGGCCAATCCGGCGATGACCTGGATGGGTGTGATCCAACTCTTGCGCCTGCCGAATCGCCGGCTCCAGATGGCATCGACGATAGGGCTCCAAAGCAGCTTCAACGAGTAGGGGTAGGAAGCGAGTGAGAAGACACCGATTTGACCGTATGACAGGTACGGCTTCAGTAGGAAAGGGACGGACCCGGTGGCCAGACCCATGGGGATACCCTGGAGGAAGTATAGCACACACAGCAGCAGAAAATTTCTCCGGTCGCTGGCGGGCAGATTCGCGAAAGAGGTCGTCGTCATGGCGGGCGTTTGCGGGGTCATTGGAGGATCTTGGTCGAGAGTGAAACTAGGACGTGACATGAGGCGATTCGCCCGAGCGGACGTAGACTCGACAGAGGTGTCCCTCTTTCGCATCTCGATGGAGGAATCCATGCTGTCGCTCGCGTAGCCGTTCTGGCCCGTCGCTATGGTCAAGGAGGGCTTAGAGCGGCGTTTCAAGACCGTGCGGCCTTTGCGCTTCATGGGTGATTTGCCACGATGGGAGGGAGCGTGCGGGTGTCGTGAGTGTAGAGAGTGACTGGGGGAATCCGAATCGGAGAAGTCGGGCTCAGATGGTGAAGGCGAGAGAATGGCGGAGTGTTCGGGGCGATAGTCAGAGAGGTGGTCTGTGTAATGTAAAGGATGGTGGTGTTCACGCGTGTCGGTGCTGCATGCTAGAGACTGGAGTTCCACCTCCTGAGGACGATCCGCTGCGGAATGACGATGTTCGTGGGAAGAGTAGGGATCCGCAGGGTCATGGAGGGAGGAAGAAGCGGAGAAAGGGGGAAGACGGGAAGAGGGAGACGAAGGAAGGACTGGAACAGGCCGGGATGAGGCATCCATTCGACGTGGTGGAGAGAGGCGAGTAAACTTGAGGCAAGCTGGCCTCAAGCGTCAAGCTTGTTTGTCCACAGCTGCTTGGCTGGAACCGGCGATGGCTCCCTTGTGATTGGCTGTGGTCAGCCGTCATTATTAATGTTGCGCATTAAGGGCCTGGCGATCCCTCCATGCGTTGATTCTTCAGATGCAGATGGAATTAGTACCTTAGTAAAGATCTCGTGCTGGGGTATTCCTGTGTGACAACAGAGCCTCCAATTATGACGACTCATAGCTACAATTTATTATCTTCTCCACCATAAGGTTCAATACTTATACATTACAGTAGCAATAACGAGTCTATTCAACATACACCTCAATAGCTTATTCAGGGATAAACATTCAAGTCTCCTCCCCTCCCCCCAAAAGCAAGGACTAAGCAAATACCCAGCCGACCCAGCACGGTGGATCACAGACCAGGATACAATTTCGTCCGCCAATCGAACTGCAACCTTGAAAGGAGCCGCGGGCCCGGGATCCCCCTCACGTGATGCAGCTCCTGTCAACAAACACCGCCTATCACCACCACCAAACATAGTACTCCATCATTAAACTCTCCACCACCCAAACAACATACAACACCCCCTATACTAACAAAATGGACACCGACGACCTCGACTACGAAATCTCCTCCATCCGCGCAGAAAGTCCGTCCCCTTATCCCCTAACTCCACCCACAGACAACCAACTAACCCACCCGCTAGTCCGCACCCTCCAACACCGCCGTCGCATCCTAACAAGCAGCCTCCTCTCCTCGCGCGCACTGCAACGCCTCTCCAAATCCCAACCACCAACCCTCGCCTCCCAACAACACCAACAACAACAATGGACCGACATCTCCCCCCTAATCCAAAGCACCTCGACGCACGCGCAAACAAACCACCACCGCATCGCCTTCTCCACAACCACCTTCCCCTTCACTGACCCCTCACCAACCTCCGAATCCCCCAACCTCCTCGGCATCCGAATAGACATTTGCGCGCGCGACGGAACATACACGAAACCATACTACATTCTCCTCCGACGGATATCCCCCAAGACACCCCAAGATGGAGGGAAGAAGAGAGAAGTGCGCGTGCACAAACATACCGTTCCGGCAGTGGTGGATATGAGGAAATTGGAGAGGGTGTTTTTGCCGACTTCAACCGCTCTAAATACTTCCCAGGATGGGGAAGACGCGATGATGAACGAGGATCAGGAACAGGAGCGACAGCTCAAACCATGGAAACACAAGACGCGCAAACAGGATCTCAAGTCCTTTGTACGGGAAGTGCGCAAGCAACTAGTCTTGTGGCATTTACGGTGTGATGCGGTGCGCTATCTGCGGGAGAAACTGGGTGTTGTGAGACGCGGGGTGAATGATGATGATGCTATCTATGAGGATGATGAGAGGCCGTGGGAAAGGGATGTTCTTGGTCCTAATGCTTCTACGACGGCGGCGACTGGGGGTAGTGGTGCGGGGGAGGAGACGCGCATAGCGAAGAATGAGCTGGGGATTGTCTCGTTGGCGCCGACGGCGTTGGAGGCGGTTTATGTGCGGGTGGAGTGGGAAGATGGGCGCGTGGGAAGGTTCAAGATTTCTAATACGGGGGTGGTGGAACGGGCGGTGGTGATTGGGGATAGTGGGAGAGATAAGCAGACTGAGGGGGTTATTACGGGAGGGGATGGGAGGGTTGAGACGTTGTTGGAGCGGCTGGGGAAGAGTCGTGGAAGTGGTAAGGAGGCTGGGTCTGTTTCGCCGGTTTCTGATGTGTGATCGATTAACTGGTTGGTGAGATTTCGTGTGTTTATTGGCGTTTACTGGGTGCATGACTAGCGAGCTGTGATTTCAGATATTCCAGAATTTGTTAGAATTTATTCTTTCATATTGGGACTGACCGTCCTATTGGAAACATAAAACAAGGTCTATTATAAAGGGGAATATCCACTATCAACGCTATGCACATGAATGAACCTGTATAAAAGCGGCTGTCGTATATGATGCTGGATGCTCGCTCCTGAACGACACCAGGCAGCGACAGAAGAAGTGTAAAGAAAGGGCAAGGAGTGACAAGAAAGTAATTAATTACAAAAAGTGTAGAAAGTGTAGTGAGTATGAGACATTAGTGTAGTAGTATATAGGAACTGCATATATGCATGATGAGACCGAGGGAAAAAGGAAAGGGTATCACTTAGGCATCACATCGTAATCAAAGCACCTGTCCCCCTCTCTTGTGGTGCACCGGTCCCTCATCACCGCTGGCAGATCATGTCTGGTCGGTCACGCAAATGGCCGAGTCGCGCGTTTCATAATGCGAGTCGTTAAACGACAAAGGGGGCAGTGGCCCGTACGGCTGCCCGTGTTGCACTTCCAGTTTCTTTCGCAAGATGGCTTCTTCCAGGGTCCAGCGGTGTCGTAACCTCGACTTTTTGGCGTCAAATGCTTGTAAAATGTCTGCTTCTTCCTGCTGATGCTTCTGCTGCATCCGCGCAAACTCCAAGGCATGCTTATCAATCAGATCATCCAGCTCTCTTTCCATTCGCGCGATGGCTTCCTGGAGTCGCAGTTCTTGGCGGTCGCGCAACACCTTGATCTTGGCTTGATGCAGTTGGTCCATGGTGTTGTGATCGTGATACTCTTGTGCCAACTGAGCTTTGTGTTGCGCGGTAAACTTGCGACTCGGCACTGGGTCTGCTTTCGATCCGGATACGGGCGATGGCGGCGGGTTCGAGTTGTTAAAGAACCCTTCCATGTATTTGATGCGCGTGCGCGAGTTAAGTTTCGCGCGTTCGAATTCTCGCATTTGCTCCATTTCCACTGTAAGCTGTCGTTCCTCCATGCGGATGGCATCGGCCGTGTTCTGCAAAGGTCAGTAACTATGATACAGCCATTAGTAATAATGACGAACCTTCTCGCGCTTCTTTTCTTCCGTGCGCTTGTTCTCTGCAAGTTGGTCCGTAACGATAGACTGCTGTCTCCGTCGCAGTTGTGCCATGAATGCATCCTGAAAAGCATTATGCCGGTTCATCTCCGCTATGTGGGACTCGCGCATCTGGTATAATTGTGTATCATCCAAGCTTCGCTGCATCGATTCATGGTCGAAGACAGGAATCTCCAGCCTGAGAACCTGTTTATCTTCCTCGGCGGAATCGTTATTTTGTGCTTCCGACGGTTTCGACTCGATGTATACTCGTTCGACGCCTTTTTCGCCTTTAGCGACGGTGATCTGCGCGGCGGGCGGAAGGAGGACGGGGGATGGCGATCGCTTCTTCCTAAAATGGATCTTCCCGATTGCCGACTTGAGCGTTGATTTTCCTCTTTCCCTTTTATCCGCGGAGGTCATGCTGAACATTGATGCACGGTTCCCGGGTGGCCTAGCGGCTAGGCTATCTATCCCCGGCGCCAACCTTCCCTCAAAAGAGCTATAAGATGTCGGCCGAGTAGACATGGACGCGAATGACCGAGTGCTGCCAGCCTGGACAGGCTCGGAGGCGACGGTAAAATCGGAGAGGGACGAGGCAAGTTGATCGATATGCGGCGGGGTCTCGAGGGACGGAATGACTTCGTATGTTGAGTTGCGATCGGTCGAGGAGCCAGAGGATCTGATGGGAGAGGACAAGTCCACCATACCGGAGGCAATGGATGCAGCCAGAGATGCCACCACCTCGACTTCCGGCACCTTTAGCCCCAGTTGACGTGCATCCTCCACCAATTTTTGTTGTCGCGCCGTTTCTGATTCCTCGGAAGGTAGAAGAAGAACTTCAGTGCGGTACCGAGACTCGTCGACCTCGGTGAAATATATCGGCTCCATGATGCAATTGGCGATGGGCGGGATCGTTAATCACACATGGAGCACGTATCCCGGCAGAAAATGACACTAATAACAATAACGCCGATAGGCAGTTCGAAAAATGAAGAAGATGGGCAGTACGAAATAATAAAGTAGAAAAAGAAAAGGGGTTCAAGTATCAACGACGCGAATCGCGAGACGCTATAAGGCTCGTCCACAGTACTAGGAGCACGGTGGACGAGATGGAGGCGCTCAAGAGCAGCATCCGACTTGCGGGGAGGGGCGAAATCTGAAAAGAGACGGGATGGGAGAAGGAGAGGGAAAGGAGGGCGACTCGTCGACTGAGGACGGAGGAGTCCAAAGAGGAGGGAATGAGCTAATGAGAGAGAGGATTACTCTGCGGCGGGCCAACAGCGAGCAGCAGAGGCAATGCGACAACCTGATTTGGGCCTCAAGTTCGTTATTGTTATTATTGCGACCCACGGCCCACCTGACCGATTCTTCCTCATTAAACGGCGGCGGAGGCCCAGTGGTAATCTGCTGCATCCACTATGGGGGGTGGGCTGGTGGTGTGCTTTAGTGTGTATGGGGGATCGTTGCAGAATCAGCACGTTGATTATCGCGGCGCTTTTCTTTTTTTTTTTTCTTTTTTTCCCTTACTCAAAAAACGAAGTATTTAACCATATTCCCTGTCACCAGAACGGAGGAAAAGGGAAAAAAAAAAAGGCAAAATAAGTGCTAATAGTCATTGTTGAATCTGACACAAAGTGACCAACCAGGCTATCAGCCATGTTACTCTCAACCTCGGGACCGACTCAGGCACCAGGGCGTGGATACGTTACCCGCGTAATCCTCATACCTCCTTCCCCATTTTGCCTGGCAAACCGCCCGTCACTTCTGAAACAACCCCCTCAATCGGGCCATGATGTAGGGTATAGGGTAGGGCCACTGGGTGTCAGCCGCCCACCACAGTGACCACACAGCGTTAACCGCGGTTTCAACCACTGCAACACCATGGCTTAAGGTCACGAACCGCCGCTTCAGGATCCCACGCGGTTTGTTATAAGGATTGGCATGGTGGCCCACTGTTCCTGAGTTTTTGTTTTTCCAGACCCTTCTCTTCATCACGCTTTCTTCCTGCTCGTCCAGTAACATGCTGATCAATTGAAACCGATGGGGACCGATAGTTGCTGGGTCGCTTCCTAGTGCCAGACTAGGCAGGAGGGGTGGTGATGGTGGTCTGATGTTTCCATGGATGGCTTGAGTCTTATCCATCCTGACAACTGACCATATTCACCGCTTTTTACCTCACGCTACACATTAAGAAAGCGAGGTTGCGATACGAAAAAATCTCACTTTGTGTAGATATGTGTCTATGATACATCTCTCGAGACAATACATCTACCTCGACAACATGGCTGCCGCCATGGCATATGTCTTCTCTCTTGCATCAGCCTGCACCGTTCCCGGGCGAGCAGATTTATCCCAGCCGTGATTGCAGCTCTGCATTCGCTGCCGCACCACCTCCTTCCCCGGTTCCTTGGCAATTTTCTCCGCCAGCGCCTCCGCCTCAGGCGCCAAGTTGTCGCAGGCCGCACTGACAATCATCACCCGCGCAGGGAATCGGTCGGCACTAGCATAGAGCGGCGAGATTCTCGGGTCACGGGTATCATATGCAGCATGCGTGTAACACCTGTCAAAAATCTTCGAGATGACAGCGGGGATCGCTCTGCCTGAAGTATCCGGTGCGGTCTTCAACGCCGGATCCGTATGCAGGTCCACCACAGGATAGACCGCCAGAACGGAGTGGAAGGTGTCTGACGAGAACAGGTTGGCCGCAGCAGCCAGGGAGAGGTTACCGCCCGCACTGAACCCCGACAAAGAGACACGGCTAGGATCGAATTTCTCGGGCTGTCCCAGAACCCACTTGGCCACATCCTCGGCATCGTTGAGAGCTGCGGGGAAGGGATTCTCGGGTGCTAGGCGGTACTGGACATCGAGGACCGTACGGTCGGTTTCGTGACTCATCTGGCGACAGAATGCATCGTCGGCTCCGTGGCGAGGGAGCATGAACCCACTGCCGTGGAAGTTGATCAACACGGGGGTCGGCCCTGTGGATGCGGTTGCATTTCGGTAGACGTGGGCTTTGATAGTCCGTCCTGAATCGCGTGACGGAATCTGATAGACGTCATCTGGCGTAGCTTGCGTATTTTTCTCGGGGGCGATGAACCGCCTGATCACGAACGCAAGAAATTTGTAGTAAAGGTAAACGATAGAAAACATTGCGGGGTTGTTTGCCGTTTGCCGAGGAAGACAAAGAGGCACAAAAGGTGAGCTTAGCCAAGATATCAATTGCAGCACTGCTGTAAGTACGAAGTAGATGCTCAGGAGGAGACAGCGCATGAATGAACACGTAGGAAACTCGCTCCAATTCAATTTCCCTTTCTTATCTCGCTCCCCCCGAGGATGACGAAATATTCGCGTGGCTATCGCGAGCGCCATTTTTGGTCGGTTCCACTAACGGGCCACGATTCCACTAACCACCCATTCCACCAAAAGCTTGGTGCACGAGGCCATGCTTTTGTGTCATTCGAGTACCGCTCGGAGAATTTCACCCAACACCATTAGCAAGACTCAACAGCTATATAGTAGGACAAGCGGATCATCTGCTCTGTGGACATGTCCTGTGTAACTCGAGGTTATCCGCGATGTTCCGAACATCCTGGGAGCCGAGGTGCAATGGTTATATTTGTTGTCATGATACTATCTGCCAATTAGCTACTAGTAAGTAGTAGGAAATGATGCGCCATGTCTGAGGTTGAAACTCGGACACCCGTGGCCCATTTCATGCTTGTACTCTGTTAGTAGTCTGAGGCAGATTTAAAGTTTAAGCATTACTCCACCAACAGGTTGGAATGAAACACGATTTAAGATACTGCTTCACACTTCGGTCATACCTCGGCTAACCCCTGTTCAGTATATGAAAATGTGGATCGTAGTTGAAACTTATGCTGGTATTGATCACTTGGGAGTTACCCGGTTCAGTTATCCCAAAGGAGAATTGCATATGATAGAAGATAACTTTAAGAGGGGTTTATTACTCAGATAGAATGAAATTTCTCAAAGTCGGACAGCATAGCAAGCAGAAGAGATAGCAAAATGGAATCGAAAGAGGAGGTCAGGTGTCAAACAGTAAGATCGGACTTGTCCCAGCTGGGATGATGTTATTATCAGGCAGTCGAGGGAGGTCACATAATTAGTCACGGGTGTTAACTGGATACTTAGACTCGTGCAACTATGCACAGGGTAGCAGGAAAGCCGTTTACAGCAGGCAGAAGGTCAGCAGCAGCAGAGAGAGGGAGACAATTGGTTCAATGAGGGCTCGCCAGTTGCCATCATATTGTATGTTCAGAAAATCTATTGAGTTTGTAAAGGAATATACCGTAATTTCTTCGAATATTATTCTATGATGAAGGTTAATGGTTGTTTATAGGTTATAGTATCCTCTATACAATAGTCATATGCTTTTACTTTTGGTTCGAAAATGTGACGAATGAAAATCTATAATTTTTAGTCCCCTCTAAATACATCATTAGTACATCCCGGCGCCATGGTTCATGAATGATAGTGAATGCTCGACAAAAATCCAAATGAAAATGAAGCAACAGACGTTCATCGCCCAAACAGGCAGACTCAAGACGGCAACCCCGGGACAGGTACAGAGACCCAACCCCCCTCGCCAGTCTCTTCCCGATGAGAAAGGACCTGTAGGTCCCATCTGCCGCAGAATCCATCGTAATTAGCAATCCGTGTCACTTGCGAAAATGATCCGCCTTCTGTCGAATTATCCCCTACCCAGACCGTTTCTTGCACTTCTTCGCCGGGAACCTCGGCTCGACGCGGATTATAAAACGGAAGACCAACCGCAGCGCTAAAAAGCCAATGGGCGATAGAATAAAGTCTCTCTACCCGACGAGTAACCCTGAGCCAACTGAAAGAGCGAGGGTTGTAGGCCACGCGAATGAAGGGGTTCATATAGATGCCTGAATCTTCCTCGCCGTCCCTCTCAGCCTTGGCCGCACCTATGGAGGAGGAAGAGGGCCAGCTTTGAATATCCGCATGTATCAAACAACATTCGGACGATTCCCAGAACAGATCCTCCTCACCGCGAAATTGCACAGGCACGCGACGTCCGCGGTAATATGTTGGCTGATCCGTGTCTGTTGCTGCTGGGATGCCGCGCTGGAAGAACCCAGCATCGAAGGCAACCATTCCTCCCCAGCAGCTACGCACCCGAACGGAATCGGTCCCCTGCAGTACATCCGAGCGACTCTGGGCTTTACCCGCAGTGGTGAACCATGGAAAGAATGGAAGACCCATGCCATAGCCCTCAAGGTCGCGCGTGGCAAAGGTATCGTAGAACTTGAACGGGTTGATAAAGTCGACCGCACATGCGGCTCGATAATCCGGGCGGCCGTCGCGGGTATGTGTCGAGAAAAGAAGCTGCAGAGCATCCAGGGGATCGAAGTAGACGTCGTTCAAGAAGAGGAGGCGGTCGAACCGATGGTTCAGATCATCCAAGGGACGCAAGGCCCGGTTGCGGACCTCTGCCAGGTAGGCCACGCGGCGCACGTGGCTGGATCCATTGGGTAGCGTAACGGTGGGAAAGCCGGTGAAGTTGAAATGTTTGTCGTAAACAATGGATTTGTTACAACGGACTCGGTCACTCAGCGCCGACAATGCCTGCTCGCCAGTTGCATCGCTGTCATTTTCATAGATGCTCAGGAAGACACGGTCCGGCCCGATCATGTCGATCAGATCTAGAAGACTCTGGCCCCACGCGCCACCCGCCAGAGCCCCAGTCTTGTCATAGAGGCTGATCGCGATAAAAACGGTAGAGTTATGTGGATTTCCCCGGCCTGGAGTTGTGGAGCCTTGGACGGCTGATTGCAAGGCACGGTAGTGAGGAGGCAAGTGAGTGTAGGACGGGAATAATACAAAGGTTGTAACAATTAGGCCAACCAGCACGTAGAACAGGATGGAAACAATCCTACGGATTGTGAAGGTATCAGGAGAATAACGTCGTTGTATGCGCCATTTCGCTGCTCGGGATGTCTGGAAAAGAGTGGCTTTGAGACGTTGGACGCGGGAGACTCGAGCACGAGTGGGATACCCATCTGTAGACTCATCCCTCGCCAGTTCAAGTTCTTCGGCATTGTCGAACGAAGTGCGAGCGACGGGCTCGTACCAACCACTTGTGAAACGTCCCATAATGAATCTGGCCACGACAGTGTCGAAGGTTACTCGAGCGGGAGATCTTACAGGGGGATTTGGAAGTCGGAGCCTACTTCATATTTCTTTTGGGCGCTTACTTTTGGGCTTACTGTGCAGAACAAACACTTTGCCCTTTCAATTTTAGATTCATGTGGTTGCCGATCGCTGCATATTTCTTGGTCATCTTGAGCTGCATGATTTACTAAGTAATAGTGCTTCTTTCGACCAATAATCTATAATAAGCAAAAGTACTCACCAACTAGGATTAGTACCGCTGCTAGTACAGTTACTACTGCAGCCGCTAGGGCAAGGCTGAGGCCATAGGCAACGCTATTTTGCGTAGTACAGTAATTCCAATAAGAAAATAGAACCCCAGCCACAGCTATGTTAATGGGGCAGGTCTGTAGTATCTAAGCATATAAAATATAAGAACAAGGTAGCTGGTGATTTCCTTCTTACATTGTAGCACTACCTACTCAAGCATCATACCAAGGAGCCAGCCTACAGGCAGCAAAGGCTATGTGGCCTGATTGTTGATGGATGTAGCCTAAATTACTTATACAACTAAACGCTGACAGAATGAAGTGGATCTCTCAACGTAACGTTGTTAACACAGGATCGCCTGAGGCGTCCTGGTGTTCGCCGGGAAAGACCCGTCATTTCGCTGTGGGTCTGAACCTTACCCGACAATCCTCCGGCGTGTCTCGTGCGACCACACATTCAATCTGACCAGACCTTTTCTCAACTCTTAAAAAAAGCTTAAGCTGACGTGATCTGACCATCTATTTTGATGGCTCTAGCAGCTGTTAGCCTCAAATCGCACAATGGCCAACATAGTCTGTAGCACATCAAAGCATCTCAGGAACACAGTCAACAAGGTCTTAGTCGTAACTGAACTTGTTGAGAATGCAGGGTTCTCAGCTGAGACATTCTAAAATGCACTAGCCACTAGGTAGTTAGTATGTCTTACCAGGGCTCTAGTACCTATACTATTCAGAATTTATAGTTAGCCTTGGTGTCATGACCGCCAGCTAAAGATTACTCGATCCAGACAGCCCTTTCCGAATACGAATAGCCACATTCACACAGTCTAGTTCTCAGGTGGTGGTTAGTAGGCTAGATGGTCTAGGGTCTCGAATTCTCAAGCGATGAATTTTTTGCTAGCAGCTCATACAACCAGTGGTGCTTACAGTGGGCCTCCTTCCCTAGAAGATCCCCTCGAAATCTGCCTCATCTTGCTTCATCCAATTCCCCTAAATGTATATGCGTATATATTCTCCCTGGCGACATATTCGATGACTGGCCACTAAATAATCCACTAAATGCTAAAAAAGAAAGATGATTCTCTCGAGACTTTAACAGGCGTCATGCTTGTATCGAAGCGAAGTGTAGCCAGACGCAGTATTTGCCAACCTATAGAGGTGATTTGTGTCAATTCTATCCTACATCCCGGATATTTTCACAAATACTGACATCCAAAGTAACGACCGTCGTTGAAGATGGGACATGAGGTAATTGCAGAGAAAGCAACGGGCTATGTTAATAGGTCTTGGTCCTGGAAACCTGGATGCCTAAACATATAGTTACTTGGCTACTGAGGTGGCTTCTGTCCTCTGAAAGAACGTTATTGAACAAAGGCTGGGGGTTTTTAATACGGTTTGAAATGGCTTCCAGGCCTTGCCTGTATAAGACAAGTGACCGAACAGAGGCCTAAAAAGTCATAAAAATACATATTCCAAGTGATGGACTGGCCACCCCTTAGGGTGTGTGGGTGTCACAGTGCACGTTATAGTTCAACAGGCCAGCCGATGATAAGAGAAGGCAGCAAACAATTCTCCAACACCTACATACATTGGTACTATGACCTAGCTGAGAACGCAGAGTTCGATACTTGAATGCCACACCTTCTCTCGTACTTTCAGACATCTGCCACAACGTGAAGCTTTTACCAGCCACCAAGATATCACGACAAGGTGTCGACTACAAAGCCTTTTATCTCAAAGCCGAGCATTAAAAGAGAAACAAGCGGTTGCTGTCTACTTCAATAGTTTATCCTGATCTTCCATGACCTTTGTTCAGGACCAGTCATGTTGACAAACCTATTCGTCAGGACTGCGACCATATTTTGGGGCAGAAACTAGTGTATATTTTCACTGGGGCGCTGTGTTACTCGATCGGTATATGCAATCATGGCTAGTGCATCAAAGGTCGTCAAAGTGGAGCCCTGTACATAATAGCACATAGCGTGTATTCAATGACAAACGCTTTATGCGTTAGAATTGGCCATACTCATACGCTATGCATCGTCTTCCACGTACCAGTCGCTTACCGCTGTAAATTATGTATCAATACGTCTCTGGTTTACCTTAGCGGGAAAAGGGCATCCAAGGCAATTGGAAGAATGGTGAATTCGATAGGACAACACCTTCCAAGAAGTATTTTTCAAACCTCAGAGACCATCTTCTCTCATTATTAACGCCATTCCATACTATGACCACTCAGACGGCTTTTGAGGTTTCCTTGTTGACAAGCCAGAGACCCCTTGCTGCCTGTGCCACTCAAGCTATTGCGATGAGGTGCTTGGTGAATACTTTCAATGCATCAGTTCTCACGAGTGGTGGCCGTCATCTACCATCCAAGAGATGGAGTGCAAAGGCCCCCTTTAGTACAACCCCATGGCACTCTGCTGCCATTGAACGATAAACCTTCAGCCATATTATTGAACAGGATGAAGACTCCACGAGCACAGGAGGGTCGGGTAAGACAGGGAAGTACTATTGAGAAAGCAAGTTAACGTCACAGGATTACTTGTGTCCAGGACTTTCACACAATGGGTACATTGCATACTGCCAGGCCATGCAGATCGCAAGGGGCCGAACAGGACAAACATCGAAGGATCACGCGGGTTGCATTAAAAGTAGTACTACGGGCAATCATTGGCTCGCATTGTTCTGGGTCGTTCTGAAGCACTATCCAACGATCTGGAAGCTTCAAGCTGCAGACATCCCGATATGGCACAACGAGATTAACGAACTATGACGGTTGCTCAGTAGCCTATCTACATCCTCGTCGCTGGTATATCTAATACATGTCGATGACGAACTAATTACCATCAGTAAGGGAAGCTGTACCAACCCCTATCCCCAATAATCAGTGACACGGCATTGCTGTCGTATACAGTCATTGACTCTGGTCTAAGCCAGGAGGAAACCTGGGAAGCGAGAAATTAATTGGGCGATCCTTAACTTTGTGTTACCAGCACTAGGCTCTGATGACAATCGGCTTCGTATTCAGTGTCTCTGCATAGAATGGGATATTCGCATTGTGTCTAGTAGATATGGATCGTTATTCAGAGCATCTCTCTATGCCTCTAGACGATGCTGTTCCATTCATAAGTCTCTAATCTTAAAAGACATTCAAGAAATACTACACTGAATCTGATCTGCCCTGGACAGAACCTGTCGCAGTCATGACCACCCAAACTCAAGAGAGGTTCTCTGCTGCCACCAAAGCTGACTATTTTCCCGTCCAGCCGAGTGCTATCTATCATGAACCCACCGATGATTTCCTGACCGTCGATGGTATCTGCCACACACCCCGACCTCACTGTTTGGCTGAACTCAAGCGAGTCCTTGCCAAGCATGCTACATCTCCTAGTACACCGTCTATGCGTATCTGGGTCTACATCGCCCGGGCCATTCTCGGTGAGCCCGTTGAGCAGGAGGAACATGTGCTGGCACCTGAAAATGGAGCTGATAGTCCATTGCAAACTCCTTCGAATGGTCCACCCCAGAGTAAGCAACCGAGGTCATGACTGGTAACGACCATCCCTTGCTCTCGCTCCCAGCGGCTGTCTGTGCGCCTCTTTGGAGCATCAAGTCAGCGGGAATCTTCCATCCCGACTGGATACAAGAGGCGCTCGGTATCATCATCTCACGAGCGTCTGGATCTTTGTTTGATCCCTGCGTGGCTGTCACTCGGTCTATAGACCCAGAAAGTAGGCTCAACCAAGTCAGCGCCATGACGGGACTAGGAAAACTTCGAGTCAGCAATCTGTCCACTGGAGGGCTAAGCGGGCTCTTCTACTTGGCTCTCACCAGCCCGGAAGAGATGACTGAGGAGGCTCGTGCTGTCACTGCCTTCTATTATGGTTTACCATATGCAGACGAGCTCAGCGTTTGCGACCAAGGAGGACAATGGGCCCATCTTCCAAATCTAGCTGGCCCAATACTTGCAGCAGAAAAATTGTTAAGCGGACCTCGCCCGGAGATCTTTGAGCTTGTACTGTTCAGTTACCATTGCTGCACAATAGACTCTAAAACCCCACCTTTTTCGTCCAACTACTCCATCTCTACCTTGTTCCTCGCTAGGCCATACGACTCTATTCTTGCATCGTTTCTTGACTGTATGAAAGCTCTAGACCCACTTTCTATCTTTGGGACCCGTGCTGCTGCCTGGGGAACTTGTTTCTCGAACGACATCTTCGATTACGTGAATGACCAGAAGTCGAGCAGGGCACTCAATCTCTGCTGGGCGGTAGGCACTTGGGACGGGCCCATCATCTGCGCTCGAATGTTCCGTGGCTGCCTCCTTGCCAACGCGCGGATCGCTCGTGAAGCTCCCGCTTCCCTCTTCGGTCTCTTGTTGATGGAGTTCGTCTATCTCTACACTGCGCGGTATTGCTACTGGGTCATTTCGCAGAAGTGTGATACTAATATTCCGTTGGATGACACTTACATTTCATGCGCATTTGATGAGATCCCTTCTCCTGATACTCCTCCTGTCGGTGGATTCCGTGCAGCATTGCGTGCAGCCTTTGCGGCGTCGCTTCCTGATGGCTGCAATGGACATTCCGAGGTGCCTGACATCACCTCCAACAAAAGCGGCCAGTCTCTTCCCTCGTGGCAAGGTCTAGCTGCTACAAAATGTGAATGGGATAATCCGCATAAGAACTTCGATAATCTAGCTATGGGAGCTACCCATGAGATCCTGGCTTGTCTTGACCGTGGTGTCTATAAATCCTCACGTGAACTCTACGACTCACACCTTGCATGGATGATCCGTCAGTACGACATCATGGTGGAATGTGGTAGAGATAATTTAGCAATCGGACGTTACTACGTCTCCCATCTGTTGAAGTAAGGGTCAGCTGTGCATGGATTTCGCCGGCACGAAACTGGAATTTCTGTTCATCCGTCCCGTCCCTCTCTCTAGTTTTATGATGATCATCTCATGTGTTTGAGAAGTATCGCACCCAGAATGAATAAAGCTGCAGACCCACATGGCTATAATGTTGAATAAATCATGTCAGGACACATCTCTCCGTCCGCTCTGGGAAGACACGGTGTATCGTTTCCCCGATCATCTAGCCGTCAACAATCATGCACAGATGCTAATGCCTCAGCAGTCATACACCTCGAAGGTTTCAGAGGCAGGGTGGGAATAGTCTCGATGGTGCCCCGCGTAGGCATTAATATTTTATTGCTCGTCCAATTGCATGCCATTTGTAGGCTCACAACTCAACCTGTTTCTGTGAGCTGTTCGGGATTTGATGGGCCTGTGCGCAGGCCTCTTCTGAGCTCTGAGCATGCTGTTGAGTCACCGGGCTCCCACCCTGCGCCTGACCAGTCAGTCATCACCGCTGCTCTCGCGTAATGGGGTGTGCTTTCCGGCACCCTTGCCCGCTCCGCCTCCACTCTCTGTCCCCAAGACCTCCTTCCGCTCCTCCCCTCTGTTTCCCATGTCACCCTCCACTCCATCCCCCCATTTCCTTGAGTTAACCCCGCTCCACCCTTCACCCTAAAATGGTGGTCTCCGCCCGTCTGTCACGGGATTTCCGCTGAAGACTACTATACGCCCTCCCCTCGAATCTTTCACATCAAACCACCTTTGATGATGAGTTCATCAATTCAGCGCATGTGCTCTACGCTTACGTCTAATTACTGCTATAGGAACAAAATGCATTTCAACTGTTGCGAATTTATCAATTCAAGTCCGTCACACACTTCATAATCCTAAACCTTATCCTTATCTTCCCTACAAGGACCCTGCATCTTTACCTCCTTATATACGGATTATCCAAGGTCCTATCAGCGATCGGAAGATGTCTGACAAGATCACCCAAGGAAGCACCAATACCATGTAGGATATTGCGTTCGTCCATGGTCCTCAAAGTATCATTCCGTCTATACCTTACCAAGGTAATGTTGTGTCCACGAAGCACAGCCCCGAACTTTGGCCAATCAGCACCGGGGGAATACACACCACGTCTGAAAATCTCACGTATAAGAGCCATCAACTCATTCTGGTCGGCGTGTTCGGGACCAGAAATAGCCAGAAACACTGGACAACTATAGGTCGTGCTGGTGACAACAAGCATTTCATACTTGACATTGCGGCCAGTGAAGGACGGGTAGCTGTGGTCGCTTGTAATCACTGAGCGCAGGTCATCTTTCTCAAAGCCTGCTTCGTCGACGTAGCCGTGTCCATCGAATCGTTCTACCCACTGTTCTTGAAGGAGACGCGAGAGTAGACTGAGATAGCCGTGATCAGGGGCTGGCGTTTCCAGGATTGGGATATTCATGGCGGATGATGCTGTATAGTATACAGTATATAGTGTGTCTGTGTGCGAAATGGATAGAGATCGATGGATTGATGGACGAAGCTTGCAGTTGATACTAGTGAGAGAGAAATTGCTGGTCTGATACACAGATAGACAGACCAGACGAAGGGGTCACAGGCATGCTTATATGTTAACTTCCTTCCTCCATGCCAGACGCACGTGCAGAAGAAGCTATTGAGATTTGCGTCGCTGCATCTGTAAATATTTCATATAGCATCCAGCATTATCATACGTACATCTCCGTCAATTACCTCCCTCTTGCGCTCATAAGCTTCTAGTATCTGTGCCCTGAGCAGGAAAAAATTCAATTGCCTAGATAACATCTGCTTAATAGTTGGAAATAACCCAGAGGGTGTCAAATATAGACAAGGTAATATGCACTCTCCATCACATACCTATATAGAAATTCTTAGCCTACCCCAAGTGAACCGGCATCAACCTCATACATTACCACTCAGCTTAAACAAGACCAAAAGTGGCTCTCGCCAGCCGTGCTGTTTTCTGCCCAACACAACATACTTAGCAATCAGTGAAATCAGTCCACTCATTGAGTGCACCAATCTGAATCAGTATAATCATAGAAGGAACTTTCTAGGCACCCTGAAAATACAGCTGGAGTATCGGGAAGATTCCATGCCAATGGACATTGTTTAGAGTTTAGCTTTTCAGGCATCGGTTGGTACGCGATCTATATGTGGTACGTAACCATGGATGTTTCCCTGTAGTAACTTTCTGCAGGTCTCCCAATGTTGCTGAAACCGAGTTCAAAAACTTTTTTGCTGACTTCTGATTCCACCTTTTTTTACACTTGTTGGTAGAACTGCTAAACCACCCACGTATGCAGTATGTATCAAATACTATACATCTAACTAGAATCTTTCCAGTGAGTACAAACACATACTCTACATCTACACATATTCATCACTAAGTACCCACGTAGTCTTCAAGAGCGATAGGGAAAACTTGTCAATTCACACCTAGCACACAGATCCGAACCATCCCGAAAACCTCCAAATAGCAGTTTTACTACTGCGTCCCATTTTCAGCCGGGATCTGAAACTCCTCAACAATCCCATCCAGTAGACGTATAATTCTCCCCCAAAGAATATCATGCACCTTCTCCCCCTCAAACTCCACCTGTTGCGCACCACCTTCAGAATCCACCTTGAAGACACATATTTCCTGCCCATAAATAACAGCCCCGTACTGCGGCCATCCATCACGGGGCTTGTTCTTCTTGTCCGCGAACAAACATCGTAGCTTATTTCTCAGTAAACCACATACTACCTTAACGCGCTCTCGAGCCCAGTCGGGAGCCTGCCCGTCAGGTGATAGCATTGTATCGGGTGCCGCACACCCAACGGCAATAAACACCGGTCCATATTTTCTGCTGCACATGATAAGATCCGCGTTATAGAGGTCGCCCTGGAGCTCTGGACATGGCTGGATTCATTGGTGTAGTGTGCTTAGCACGTTCAAGTCGCCGCGCTTGAACCCGCGTTTGGTAACATTTCCGTGTTCGTCGACTTTTTCCTCGAACGAGCGTTTGAGGGTGTCGGCGAAGTTGAGAATGTTGTATGTGTAGACGCTCATTATGGTTGGGGGTGTGGATGTTCAATTGGAGAGCTGTAATGATTGGGCAGATCGGTAGTATATCTAGCACTGCGAGAAGACCTAGCTTGATGGCGAGATATATCGAGGCAAGAGAGTGAGAGATGTTCGCCGGGTCTTTATAGGGCCTGTTTGTCTCCTTCAGCACGCGCAAGAGGCGTCATCGTGTATGACCCGCCTTTCATCTGGGCATAAACCACACTATCCATTAGATCATAAGCATTTCTTCGCGACCTTCCTGTTGAAGATTGTCCAGGATAATAGGGTGGCAAAGAGCCTAGGTGCCTTCTTCATGTGCATGTTGATTATGGTGAAAACGGATCGATGCCCTTGAGAAATCATATTCATTGCGGAGAATCGAGGCAACCAGGCGTAATTGAACCATACAGCAATAACACCGGCATATACCTCACGAATGGTGGGTTCGTCCTCATCCTTTTATCGCATTACTCGCATCCGTAAATCACTTTTACATTCCGTCAAGATAGGCACACAGTCAGGGAATTATCAGCTAAAGGAGACTACTCATCTCGCCAGCGGTCTTGGAGTCTTCCGTTCACATTTACAGTTAAATAGGCAAATTGACTTCGCCCCAGTTCCTCTGGCTGCAAAATGCGTGATACATCCAACATTGTCGTAATTCCTTGATGGCGGTCATTGGGAATATCTTCTGTGCAACGAAGGAAGAATAGCTTTGTCTTGAGATAGTGGTTTGTGTGGTCATAGATAAGTAGATATCTTGTGTGTGTGTGTGTGTGTGTGTGTGTGTGTGTGTGTGTGTGTGTTCTTATTTTAGATCGTTGTTGCTGGAATATGAAATGAAATTGGTATATTGATATTTTTGCTCATAGCATAACACATTATCTAGTGCGGAAGAATCCGTTATATAGCATCGATTAGGCATACATCTTTATCGTCCCTCATGTCTCAAACATAAGGACACAGGCTTCCCATAACCTCTATTCTTTTTATTTTTCTCCGGGACAATGCAAAGTTCATTTACCGACCAATCTTCTGCAGCTCCAACCAGCGCAGAGGCGGGAACACCAGCATCGCCCAAGACACACCCACCCAGATACCCAGGTCCGCGCCGTCCGAACCAACCATCCTGGCAATCGGACCAACATACCATATTTGGTCCATGCAGACGATCGCACCCGCCCAGCCGATCAGGAACGCAGCCAGAGCAGCAAGACCCAGGGGCAACTTGGACCGGTCGGCCCAGACATCCCAGTCGAAACCACGGGTGCGGCGGAAAATGAGGTGTTCCTCCAAAGCGATGGTCAAATAGATGGTCACCCAGTAGCCCATCAGGGCAAGGAAGTTCTCGAAGATATCGTAGAGGTGGTTCCGGCCACCCAGGGCGCAAGCAGTGTAGATGATCACACAAATACAGGAGAGGAACCATCTGGGAAGGCTGCCAAGGTGACGGCCCATGATCTGGAAGCCCAGGGTGGCAGAGTAGGTTCCAGGAATGTTGTTGGCAATCAGACCCAGGGCGACGAGAACGCCCAGGAACTTGCCAAATCCGCCGAGACCGTCATATCCAGCGATGATGAGAGCTCCAGCAGAAGTGTCGTAGGCCTCCGCCCAGGATGGGTTCGTTAGCGTGCCACTGGCGAGGCCGACGCCCATAAGGTTGGCAAAAGAGAGGGCAAGGCCGACACCGAACAGGGTCAGGGTGAAGGTCTTCCATTTCGAGGTGGTGGGAGGGAAGTAGACAAAGAAATCAGCGCCAGCAGGGGCCCAGGCAATGGAGCTGGAGAGACAGAGCGAGAAGAAGGTGAGACGGTTGGCGTTGACGGTCTGGGGGTCGCCAGTAGTCTTGATGTTGGTGTCGAATTTCGGGCCGGCACTGCCGACCAAGACGAAGATGGCGATGAGTTGAGGCACCCAGGCCCATCGCTCGTACACGTGGAAAGGCGCCATACCAAAGACCACAACGATCCACGTGATGATGGCAATAATGATGATTCCCACCACCACCGTCAACCCACCATCAGCAACCGCGGACAGCACCTGGCCACCCACGAGGCAGTCGATCATTCCATAGCCCAACATGATGATAATGTTCAAAAGACAAGCGATCTTACTCGGGTAGTAGCCCATGAAATATCTTGCGACGACCTATAAAGTTTTTGGTTAGCACTACTTGACTTTCCTTAGAAGGTGGCACGTTGCTTACCATAGTTCGATTACCACTCTGCGGTCCAAAAGTTCCCATATACGCCACACCTGCTGCACCAAGGAAAGCACCAAACACCGCACAGAGCGCCGAGTCAACGAAACTCAGAGAATAGTCCAGAGGCCCATACATTCCGATTGCGATGTTGTTAGCGGTGATGTTGGTACTAAACCAAAGCAAAGCCATTTGCATGTAATTGGATGCTGAGGCAGCGTGGCGCTCAGACTCTGGGACACGCTCAATACCGCGGCTTTCGAGGAATTTGATGGATTGAATACGAGCGTTGAGCCTCGTCCAGGCATTCCCTGAAGAAGGGTAGGAGGCCATTTCTTTCCCGGTTTCCGAGGGAGACGAGACCGATTCTACGGCTGGAGCGGCGCGGTGGCCCTTCTCCTCGTCGCGCATGGTATCAGCCATGCTGGATATAGTGATAAAGGGTCTGCGAGCTGGCGCAGGAGGGGATCCTCGGTTGGAGCAAAAGACGTTGAGGCCGCAAGTTTCAGAAATCGAAACGCAGCCGTAGAAGAGAACCTAGGAGGATTTAATGCAAGCCCAGCTGCATGGCGGGAAAAAACTCAGGGCCGGATGATGGGGGATAAAGAGGAGTTTTGCCCCCCTCGCAGTTGGCACTAGAGCAGGGACTAAGCTAAGGTAGAGTTGGATCCGGCGAATATGGGAAGTAGTTGGCGGAGAATGACTCCTCTGGCTTTTCTGCTCGGGCTTCGCCGTATTATTTTTTGGGAAATTTTTTTTCTGCGTTTTGGCCACAAAAAATCAGTCACCCGCCAATGACAGGATCCGCGCGGCAGCATCCATGCTTGGCTCGAGCACCCGCAGTGCTTAGCGGTTCAAGCAACGAGATTAATTCATTTCCTTCTTACTCTCCGATCCCGCTGGGCGCCATCTTATTGTGATTAGCCTTGGTGTTCCTTGGGTCATCACCCTTGCCGTGGATGAACCTCAAAGGGTCTGGACATGGGTCATGAAGATTATGCCGCGATTGTTATTCTCATCTGGGAGGCTTATCTCTCTTTCCCTGTCCCCGGCTTTCCCTTTCCTGTTCTCCCGGTTCCTTTTCTGATTTGAAGTTTATGACATGACCAACACTAAACTGTCTTGGGGTTAGCAAAATGCCCTCATTGGGGACTAATATTCTGCCGGGGTCCCTCTACCGCCCAGGGGCAAATACTCTCGAGGGAAATGGGCTGATGGACTCCAGCTAGTTCTAGGCTACAGCATCATCTCCGGTTGCGACGGCGTTTTAGCTACCTATGGTGCAGATTGTATATTAAAAGTCTTGATTGAGTGGAGATTTTATTGACCTGACTCGATATTAAATGGCTCATAGGCAGACTTGACTATGTCTCCAAGCAGTGCATGGCCCGTCCTTATCACGATCCAAGTGGAGCACGTGCCCCGCTCTGCGAAGCGGAAGGTCTAGCTATCGTTCCGTTCTTTTCCTCCATTGTCAACTGTGAGGGAGAGAGTCTGCCTGGTCCGTTCCTCGCCATGATCCAGCTCCCCACGCCTTTAGTCTGGGTCTCGACACGGTAGCACGGTAACAGTTGCACAGTAGCTCAACAGTCACCCTTCAAACTTTTAGCCTTCCGCCCTCCTTCGTGGCTATATTACGAAACGAATTTGGCCGGAAGACAATTTATACGCCTTGGCTGGACAACTAACGTTGAACTCAGCGAGGATTTTCGGAGATAAGCGTACGAATCTTAAAATGAACGCGTACTCATCGAGTCACCGAGTTTGCACGATGGATTACCCCTCCGTTGGAGGACCGAAGAAAAGCCTAACTAGGCCAAAGTCTCTTCGGTGTTCCGCAGCTCCGATACTGTCTACTAACGGCACTACATAGTCAGTCTATCCATCTCCACCTGAGACCAGCTGGCTTCTGCACCGGCGGCCCTTAGGAGTGGAGGATGGCCACGCATTTAATCTATCATTCGGCAAATTCGAGATCCTGGACAGGCCCTCGATTTGCCTTCCACCTCATGGTTCGATCAAAGTGAGGAAAAAGCAGGAGACATGACTGTACGTGGCAAGCTGGTCTGCTCGTGCATTCCGATCCATCTGACTGGCTGTCACGGTGGGTGCACAATACGTAGCCGAAGCTTAGTCGGGGAACCCCGGTCATCTCCTGATGAGGTCCATGTTGGAAGTCGAAACACAAACCCGCTTTTCAAGCGCCGGAGAATTTCCGAATCTATGATGTTTTCCAGCCTTGTGGCTGGCGCTATTCGAGACATGATCAAGAACCTCACGACTAGAGTAGCTCTATTCCACCTTTGGGAAACAATATTTGGTGTACTATTGAGTCTATCTACCTCATGTTCGGCGCACGTTGTAATCCGGGTCTCCCGGCTTTGACAAATAGACTTTGTGCAGAATTTTCTAGTTTATGCAGGGATGCAGTCTAGCAAGGATTTGAATCCTGTGATAAATGAAATTATTCAGCGTTGATGGCGCGTTATGCCCCATAACCACTCAGCCGTCCCAATTTACTCCTCGTGCCGCCACCCAAGGGTGAGCGGCCACATGAACCGTAGGAAGGAGAAAGCTAATAGTACTAACTCCTACCCGAACAGTACTCCAATCCCAAGCCCTAATTAGCTACAGGCTAAGCTTGGCAGGCCCCGGACTTGATAGCCCGCCAGGTTCTAGAAGTTCATAAACAGCCACCCCGTACTTTAGGTTCAGAATAGTCTTGCGACCATGACTTTGTTGCTTCTCGTTGCGCTCCCATAGAACTCATCATGGCCAACGACGGTGGCGGCAGTCCTCATGATCTGGTCGTGCAGACCTGGATCATGTACAGCATTGCTATTCTGCTGTTCCTGGTGAGACTGTATGTACAACCCTTTGTTGTTCATAGATAGCCTATTTTTCGTGGGCATTATTAGTAACAACAATACAGGTTTGCCCGGTACAAGCGACTGGGATTTCGATTCCAGGTCGAAGATTACCTTATGGTGGTCGCTGTGGTAGGTTGCATGCACTGCACTGTGTCATACCTTTGGCCATGTGTTAACGCGCTCTGTTTGTGGTCGCAGGGATTCTACACGGCATTCGCAGTTACCAACATTTATATCATCGAAGGAGGAGGTAGCAATTTGTATGAACCTCCAAGTTTGTACTACAGTTTCTCAGCCTCCGAGATTGCTGCAAGAGTCAGAGGTTCCAAGATCGAGTTTGCTTCGGAGAATGTAGGTTTGCTTCCCCATTCTAGGTCAGCAAAGCCTAACACGATGTTCGAAACAGTGCCAGCTCTGCACCATCTATTCTCTCAAGGCTTGCATGCTGTTGGTGCACTTCCGACTGACGTAGGTGCATTCTCTGAGTCAACGCTGAGCAACTGCTGACGCACACTTCCAGATCGAACTTATGGCAGCACCGCCTGGTTAAAGTCATCGCCGGATACACCCTTATCGGCTGGATCACCACGGAGCTGGTGCTGTTCCTGAACTGTCGCCCCCTGTCCGGATATTGGACGCTCCCGCCACCTCATAAGGAGTGCAGCACCTACTTTCGCTACGAAGTGGTACAATGCGTCTTCAACATCAGTTCCGATATTTTCATTCTTTGCGTCATACTACCGATGTTCATCCGCGCCAAAATGCCCTGGAAGACCAAGTTACCCGTGATCGTGGTCTTCTCCATGGGTATTGTGGTGGTGCGTTCCTGCCCGAGTTGGCTTTGGCCCCCAGACTAGTAGTCGCTAACTTGTATCTTCTGCCCCTCAGATCGCCTGTGCCATCAGTTCCAAATACTTCACATTCTACAATATTTACGACGATAGCTACCAATTCTGGTACCTCCGGGAGGCATCGATCGGCATGTACGTGACGAACTTGCCATTCGTCTGGAGCCTCGCGAGATCGACACTTACCTTCCTGCGAACGAGTCAGTACACCAACAAAGGCCGATACAACGAAGCCCAATACGGAACCGACCATGCTTCGAATGCACGGTGGAAATCGGGGGTGCATTCTCGGTCGACTCGCAACATGCCTACCATTTACGATACTCGAAGCGGACGCGCGGACGGAATAACACGCACCGAAAGTGAAGAGAACATTATTGAAATGGGTGGGGTGGGGCATGTCACCAACAAGTCAACCGCATCGACTGGTAGCGACAACACAGAGTGGGCTCAGGCGAATGGACATGATGACTTCATCATCAGGAAGACGACGGAGATTGTCATTCAGAAGGACTGATCAGCCCATGATTTTCCTATGGATCGTCTCGACAGCCGATGAGCAGTCGCTATGACCTTGAGTTCCTCCCAGGAAGGCAGTCGCCTTTCCTCTCCTGGCCGCGGAGACAAGACCCCTGAATCGCCCACAACAGCCTCACCAAACAACACCCCCTATCTCGATGCCAGGATTTGACCCCTTCAGGCTCCAGCGATCGCGAAGAGTTTGTGCAGCGCAATTGCCAACAACCCCGCCGCATCTGAACCACAATGACGTTTCTCAGCACCACTGGGGCCCCGATCATCCAAACCACGCGGGGGCCGCATCCACGTTCCATCGACTGTCTCCGATCACTTTGAGCAAGTGAAAGGTAGATCAGTTCCACCGTCACAGCTACCCGTCCAGCCACGGCCGTCGGATTTAGGTAATCAACTACACTACTGTGTCCACGGCCCCACCAGGGACGATAGTACACGTAATGTATGGACTACCGAGTTGCCTACTCAGTCTTCACGATTCTTCTGTTGGAAAGGACCTTCAGGCACGGAGCTGAGGCGGGCTTCCACCCCGTTTTCGGCCGGGGGGATTCTAGCGATCGGCCGGCCACGAGGTTCTCACCTGGTTGTGGTGGTCGGTGCTGTGGCTCCCCCTCAATCTTCCTTATTTTCTTTCCGATGAAACATTTCAGATCCGATTCGGACGAGACGAACCTCATCATGTATAAAATTCCCTATGTTTCTTGTATATATAGCTTTGATGACCCTACATAATCATACCTAATGATGTGTGAATGATATATAATACTATTTATTCCCTGTTATTTCGAGGCTGTGCAATAAATAACAACTCAAACCATCCCCCTGAAAGGAAATTCCAAGTTGCACTGGCTCAGCTGAAAGTCCCAAACTCTGCCAAGCCGGAGCGGGTCGTAGTCGGGTCGGCTACAATCCTACACCAAACAAAGACTATCAGTGGTTCTCTTTGACAGACTCCGACACCTCCCAAGGAACCTTGGCGATACACCCACAAAGGCTTATTTCGATTCCAGTTTAGTGTCCGATATTCATGTCTGCGCTTTCTATGGCATGATCCTAGTCAGTTCCGAGTTCAACGAAAAACCTCGGAAGATTTCAACGGCAGATATTTTATCAATCTATTCTGTCTGCAGGATAGCTAGTAGACAGCCGGTGAAAACATCGAATGCTAGTTAGTGGGTAAGTCGGGCAGTGCGTAAAACACAACCCAACACCACACAGCACTCGCACTAATACACACTGGTCGGTCTCAACCGATACTAATTGACTTTTGGTATCACAAACTTTATCATTGAGTTCAGGCTGTGCCGTGCTATGCTATGCTATACTATGCTTGCTCTGTCACGGTATGGATTGATTATCTCTAACTTTTCTGTTGGCTGGTTGTTAACACCGTAGCATTCCTCCTAGATACCTATTATCCATTACTACTATTCACTAACTTACTAGATAGAAAATAAGTAAATCGGTCGAATAAACCGAAGGATGCATACAAGTAAGATCACTCTTATCTCCAATTAACTTTCCATTCCCAGGTGCAGGAGAACCAACTTTGTAGATAAACTCGACACAAAAACCCCCTTCTTACCTCGTATTCATTCACTAGCACAAATTACACTACTATCTATCTATCTAATCTACTCCGTACTACTGCAGGGGGTAGTAGACTCGGTACGTTGCTTCCTCGGCTTGGCTTTGACCTACTAAGTAGCTTTGACATGGGTGGTTTTTTACACGGGAGTTACAGTAAGCGAAGCGAACTGCGACCAGGGGTGGTGAGATTTTAGATCAGTTCGGTAAATGCGTAGTTTGGTGGGTGTTAATATCGGAATCACTTGGCGGGCGAGCTTGGCTGTTGTGAATTGTGATGGTGTGGTAGTATTTGAGTATGGGGTTGGTTTGGGTTTAGTGTGGTCTGTTAGTTGGTTTACTAGTTAGTGAGTGTTATTTTGGTGCTGTTGTTGTTGTTGCCTGTGCGGTTACTTAACTAGTTTGTTGTTTGGGTTTGGATTTAGCTTTGTTGTTCAAGCACGGATCGGACGGCATTGTGTGTCCTTTGGGAGGGGGTTTGGGGTGTTTTAGAGGGTTTTTTTGTGTGTTGTTTTGGTTTGTGGTTTGGCTTAATAAGTTACTGCTCATGAGGTGGGTGTATTATTATACGTTGGTAATTTTTATTAAGTGAGGTGAGTGTTGCAGGGATATGTGTGGGCTGGGTCGAGTATAATGGTTTAAAAGGCGATTAGACACACGGGTTTGCACTATAGTATGTGTGGTGAGGGGATAGTTAGATGCAAACCACAGTATTAATTAGGAACTCGAAAGCTTTTACTTTCCAGTATAGAGGTGTATATTTTGGGTCGAACTCGTAATCCAGTATTTGAAGTTGGGCCATGTCGTTCTAGTCTCTGTACTAAATGGGACAAATAGATGAGAACACAACGGTCGGGGGGTAACTACGCTGGGAGGACAAGCATACAGGGGCCCATAAAATGTCCCCAGCTGATATTTAGAACTGCTTTCCGTAGTCTTATGTAGTTGCAGTATTGTTGCACCATTATTTGGGGGAACATTCTATACTACCAGCCGGGGTCAACTGAAATATATTGTTGAGTTTAGATTCCAATGGCAGGTCGCGGCACCCATTCAAATACTAAGTTGTCTCTATTCTCAGATCACAAGCATTATATTTTACTCGAAAATATGAAATATAATGTAATATTATTGAAAGGCCAGCCCCCCTTTCATAGACAATTTGATGGATCGTACTCTGCGCCACTGCAACTTACGAGAACCTATCCTCCGTCCGTCCTAGATATCGACTACGAATCGCCTGACTAATTGTGCTCATGCGACTGGCCATGCCACCGTGCTGAATATTGCTCAAAAGTGCTTCCTCAAGCGCGGACTGCGTGACGCTCGCATCTAAACGCGGTTAGTATGCCATCATGCAGACAGAAGAAAAGCTCACCATCTAGGTCACTAAAACTGCTCCCCATACTAGGCGTCCCGTCACTTGCCTCTCGCCTTAAAGCCATAGATTGTCGTGGACTAAAATGTGCCAATTCCCCTGTCCGTCTAGGACTCAAGGGCCCTCCGCTTTGATTCAACCGTCGCCGTCTATCAGATTGTGGATGTGCAACTGGGACTCCAGAGCTAGCAGAGCTTGCGGAAGACTCGGTCGTGACTGAAGTTCTGGAAATCATTTGTGCCGATGGGCGTCGATGTGACTCAGAGGCATCCTCGGCGTTCATTCTTAACGTAGCATTGAGATCCTGCCCAGATGCTTCGTGCGACGCCCTTTCAGGTTCTGGCAGGAAAGCCGGGGACTCGTCGTCATCCTCCTCCTCGTACCTCAGGCCAGCCCTATGTGTGGAGAATTTGCCGAAGGGGGGCTTGAATCTTAGACCACGACGACTTCCAAAGGCGTTGTCGTCGTCGGATTCAGACTCGGATGAACTAGACGTTGTGTCATCTTCCAGAGGGGGAGACTTCGGAGTCGGAGGCGCTACAGCTTGCTCCCGTTTGCCGGCAGATGGTCGACTGGCATAGCTTTCGCGCCTAGGCTCTCTTGGCTCTGCAACAGGCGTATCGTTGCGGACTGGTTCACGAGCAGTCTTGACTTGATTGACGGTAGTTGTTGAGCTGGTGCGTCGGGGAATAGGGGCTAGATTGTCGACTATTAGTACAAGATACAGGCATAAGGCCGGATAAAACTTGCCACGCTGTGGAAGACTATCTTTCTGCTGTGACGAGAGGCGCGACGGAGCTCGAGGGCCTTTGAATGTCAGAAGACTCAATGAGTATCATCGGAGAGCACTCACCTGCATTGGTGGCACCTTTGGTCTGTTGACCCAGCGCCGTGCTACCCGACACCGAACCAGGAGCAGGAGATGTAGACGTTGACTGTGTGGTGGGCACTCTACTCATCTGTGCACGTACTTGTGACAGCTGCCGATCGTAGAGCCATGCTGCCTGTTGAAGCAGAAACTGCAATGTCACATCGAAATGATCTGCCCTACAGAGTTGATCAGTTATGCCTCAACACTCGATAAGGCCAATCATACAGTGCTTTCCCTGTGGTATCGTCAGCATTCGGAATCTCATCAGAGGATCATTAGGTAACACTATTACAGTCTAAATCATCTCCCTTTGAAGGACGGGAGAGAATATTCCAAAGAGCCTGGTCTTTGGCAGCGTTCCATTCCACCTGTCTGGTCAGCGATATGGAGATCAGTTGACTAGCGGCACTTACCGGAGGAGGATCCACAAAGTCACCCCTGGGGAAGGGAAGGCGAATAAACACGGTGAACTTGGTGTCTCCGGACTGATTGAAGGACGTCATCGCGGACTCGTATCTGCGGACGTAAAACTACTTAAATACCCAGAAAGTACACGTCAACCAGCAAAGAAATAAAACAGATAATCTTTGCTGCTACTTGAAAGCCAGCATAGTGGATGCGGGTTGGGTGTGATGAATGCGGAGGATTGACGAGGTGTCACGCCTCCCCCGTCAGGGTCGGTGCGTTGCGATAACAGTTCGGCTTATCGAACTGCAATATGGGCTGGACTCTGCTATTCCCACCCTATTGCCACGGCTCCATCCATAAACTCACGTGACATCCGCCTCACAAGGTTGCCTCTTTCCTAGTTGGGAAGAGGCAGCCTTAGCGATAGTAACTTGCCCGGTAAGTAAGTACACTTCGAGGCATAAAGAGTACTTACTGTTGGAATATGCAAATCTGGGATTGATTGGTCGGACATCCGATGATGATCTCTCATCATCTTCCTACCCAGGCGGAAATATATAGCAGCATAGGATGCCTTGAAAGTGTGGTTTGACCAACAGAACATGAGCTATACTATGCATGCGCTACAATATATCGAGAGCGTTTTATAGGAGCAGTGTATACCGAAAGCTTCAATAAAAGCAAATTCCCGCCCCACCAGACAGGGTCAAGCTCTTGGCGCAATTTGGCCATGTTAACGTCAGCAAACTAAAATCCAACAGATCCTAGACAGCCTAATAACCCTAGTACGTCAGTGCTTCAGCCTACTACATACTCCGCAATAGGTAGCCGATGCGTCATCACTGGCAATGTCCAAGCGTCTTTTGGATGGATGCAGTCTGACAATGCGAACAATTACGCGGTCAGGTTTGCAGCCTACACTACGTGCAAGTCGGAGTTGAATGGATGTATCTGCTTCATAGACCTGCATGATAAATAACATATAAGGAGGACCGGTACCCCAATCTCTCGACTCATCTTCATCATCTAAAATCGGTTTCTCACCTCTACTGCATCAGTATAGCAACAATGGCTGGTCCTGTCCCAAAACCAGAGTGCCTCCTGGGCTTCCACCAGGTCTTGTCACCCACTGCTGGTATCAAGGTGTCTCCGCTATGCCTGGGCACTATGAACTTTGGAACAACCTGGTCAGTCTATCCTGTCGCCGGCAATTGAACAAATGATTTACTGACATCTTGCAGGGAGCCATACATGGGCGAATGCAGCAAGGACGTATCCTTCGCAATCTTGGATACCTTTTTCGACCACGGCGGAAATTTTATCGACACGTACGTCCAAAAAGTATCCACTGACTCTATCTACGAGCGACAGGCTTATGCCCCTTAGTGCCAATGTATACCAGGACGGACAATCCGAAACATGGATTGGAGAATGGATGAAGAAGCGTGGGAATCGAGACCAGATGGTGTAAGTACACACCCTCTATTATCCATTGCTGCATTTCAGACCCTGACATTGACAATAACAGCATCGCGACCAAATACACGACTGGCTTTCGCCGCACACACGTCTCCACTGAGCCCATCCAATCGAACTTCGTCGGAAATTCCGTGAAATCCATGAACCTATCCGTCAAGAACAGCCTTGAAAAGCTTCAGACTGACTACATTGACATTCTCTACGTGCATTGGTGGGATTTTACCACTAGCGTGGAGGAAGTCATGCATGGCCTCAACGCACTCATCTTGGCCGGAAAGGTCCTCTATCTGGGCGTCTCTGGCACCCCCGCTTGGCTAGTAGTCAAGGCAAATGCCTACGCGCGCGCAAACGGACTCAGGCCATTCTCCGTCTACCAGGGCAAGTGGAATGCTGGATTCAGAGATCTAGAAAATGAGATTGTACCTATGTGTCGCGACCAAGGGATGGCAATCGCACCTTTTGCAGTGCTAGGCCAGGCGAAGTTCAGACCCGCAGAGCAGCGCAACGCGGAGTATAAGGGCTCTGGACGAGCGGCGCTCCGGGCTGAGGAGAATGACAAGGTTTCTGATGTGTTGGAGGCTGTTGCCAAACGGAATGAGACAAGTCTTTATGCCATTGTGAGCTTCACCCTTATACCTACCTTCTGCGCCTCGTATAAAAACCGCCGAACTAATGTTTCTATTTCAGGCTCTCGCATGGGTCCGCTTCAAGGCACCTTACGTCTTCCCCATTATTGGACAACGGAGTGTAGCGCACATGAAAGCCAACATTGAAGCTCTGAGCCTCGATCTCTCGATGGAGGATATGGATGAGATTGACAAGGCCATTGAGTTCAATCCTGCCTTCCCACTTGACTACCTCCTCGCCGGCAATTTCAGTACTGCGTTCACCGCGGCAGATGTTCAACTAACGCAGTGGACCGCGCATATCGATGCTCCTACTCCTGTGATGCCGGTCAGACCGCGTAAGAATCTGTGAATTGACATGGGGGTCGTTGTGGGTGCTTCATCCGCTGTTGATGCTATAGGGGGACGATAGAATCGCAGTCCTTATGGAGGCTACAGGAGATGCATGAGCCAAATCTCGGGGTAGTTAGTCCAACAGAGTTGGATATTGTCTAGACGATTTCGAGCTTAGTCTACATGGTAGCATCTTGGTGCGTATGCCTTCCACATTTGAGATAATACATTTCAAGACTGGGATGCCCTCTGAGAAAGTATAGTTCTTTGGGAAATCACATATGACCGTAGCCTGCGCGCTTGTCCTTTCCCTAGAAATAAGAATATTCAAGATTCCCTAACAGTACTTAATCTCTTGCTCCTGCCTTTCCTAGTAGGTGGCACGCTACGAATACCTAATGTTGTTGACCACCTCAAGATATAATGAACAAGACACTAATTCTTCTTGATCATGGAATTCTATATGTGGTATGCGGATGTTTTGTTACACAAAGGGCTGGTTGCGTATCCCAAAATCTCGTCCACAATTCACTGTGGAAAATTCGGGCTTTGTCTTTCACTGTTGACAGCTACGCCCAACATGGCAGTCAGAATTCACTGCAAGCCACATGTCCTGGGAAAAGAATTTTCATAGTCAAGCCTTGCCCCCTCGAGTTCTTCTTCGCTTCCTTTCTTTCTTTCCCAATTCATCTTGTGTTGGTCTATCTTCAGACTCAACGCAGGTGCCTTCGACTTCCCGCCGGCTCAACCGTCAACATGGCTATCGAAGAAGGTGAAAGCGGCCCCGAGCATCTCAATAGCTCTGAGTTGCTCAAGAAGATCGACAAGCTTAGAGAGAAAAACATTGGAAAGCATGTTCCCCTCCCTCAGGTAAGACCATGCCACCTCCCAAATCTGTCCACAGGTGACGCTAATCTTCATCAAGTTGGTTGTTGTTGGAGACCAGAGTTCTGGAAAATCCTCTCTTCTGGCAAGCCTGACCAAGATTCCGTTTCCTCGTGACTTGGAACTTTGTACTCGTTATGCCACGCAGATAACCTCCCGTCTTGAGGACGATCGCTCGGTCGAAATCTCGATAATCCCTGCCGGCGATGCATCCGGGGAGCACAGGGCGAAGGTACAGGGCTTTAAGAGGACCCTCAGAGGCACCGAAGACTTTCGCTCGGAATTTCCAGCAATCCTGAAGGAGGTTCGGATGGTCCAGTTCAACTTACGTTTACTATTCTCTGACAAAAGCTAACATGTTGAACAGGTCGACGAGTGTATGGGCATACGTACTGACCTTTCGTCTAAGGAAGGATCGGTCTTCAGCAAAGACGTGCTCCGGATCGAGCTATGCGGACCTGAAGAGGACTACCTGACTGTTATAGATGTGCCGGGAATTTTCAGAGACCCGACGCCTGGCATTACGACTGAGAGTGACATCGAGCTGGTTCGAAATATGGTCAAGAACTATATCAAAGATGCTCGCACTGTGATCTTGGCTGTGCTCCCGAGCAACGTCGATCTTGCTACCCAGGAGATCCTCAAGCTGGCCAAAGATTATGATGGAAATGGAGAGCGTACGCTTGGTGTGCTAACCAAACCCGACCTGGTGATCGAGCAAAGCGCCAAGGCAGCTTTGTGCTCACTGGTCCTGGGACACAAGAGACCGCTGACACTTGGCTATTACTTGGTCAGAAACCAGGGCGCAGATCAAGACACTTCTTTCAGTGGTGAGGAAGGAGAAAGAATGTTTGACAGCCAGCCTTGGAATACCTTGCCGAGAGACCGTATTGGCATCCAGGCCCTAAGAGAACGGCTGGGAGAACTCCTGAGCGAAGTTACGGAGCGCGAATTCCCTGAACTTCGCAAGGATATCAAAAACCAGATTGATTCGTGCCATCAAGATCTGGTCCGCCTGGGCCCTGCACGCCAAACTGAACAGGAACAGCGTGCGTTCTTGAGTGGTATAGCTCGCCAGTTTCAGAGCCTCGCACGAGCTGCACGTGATGCTCATTATGCAGAAAATGAAGCATTTGTAGAGAGTGACCTCCGGCTCATCACTCACATTGTCAATTTTTCTGATAAATTCAGCTCAACTTTCCAGGCTAAAGCGCATCTTTTGCCCTTCGACTGCCCTACCTCAGATGCAGTTGACAAGAGACAACCATACAACGACATGAACAACAATCCGCACGGGAAGGGCCGCCATAAAAACTGCCCAAGGGGGAAACCCGACATGCATGCCCAGATGGCAGCCGGGGATCGCTTTTCTCTGGCTCAGCATGTAAACGAAAGCCGTGAAAGCCTTGACCCTAACAACTTCCCTGAGTTAGAGCAGATTGTCAGCCGCGTGGAGGGCACCCAGGATCCCGAAGGGGATATCAAAGCCTGGATTGAAAAGTTATATGCTGAGTCTCGAGGTCTTGATCTCGGGACCTTTGGAAACAATATTCTCTGCAATGCTTTCAAGGAGCAGACCGGCAAATGGGAAGCCATGACCCGCGGACACGTGAGTAATGTAATCATAGTAGTTCACCGTTTTTTGAGTACGGCATTGGGAAAGATTTGCGGGAGCAAACAGCTCTACCACAAGATTTGGTCCAGCATTCTCGATGACCTTCTACAAAGATACAAGAATGCCATGTCCCAGGCGATGTTCCTTCTGTCCGTTGAGAGAAACCGCCGACCATATACGCTAAACAATTACTTCAACCACTCCCTCCAGAAACTGCGCAGTGCCCGTGTTGCTCAGGCATTAGAGGACAATGCCAGATATACAAATGATAATTGGTCAAACGCAGAAATGAAGGTGGTCGATCTGGATGTTGTCAAGAAGTCTGCGAGCGACCAGGGGAATGTGGAACATATCACAGGGGAAATCCATGACATCCTGTGGTCCTACTATCAAGTCGCACGCGAAAGATTTGTGGATAATGTTCACATGCAGGCAATCGAGCATTGTCTCCTGACTGGTCCTGAGAGCCCCCTCGAAGTCTTTAGCCAGGAATGGGTCATCAATCTGGGGTCGGATGAGCTGGGAGCAATCGCCGGTGAATCGCAAGCGATTAAAGCGCGGCGTGCCAACCTGAAGCAAAAGATGGAGGATTTGAAGTCTGCTCTACAAACGTTGAAGTTTTGAGATTGTGATATTTGGATATTTTGATGTTCTTTCATGCTAACATTTCTGTTCCTATGTGAACTACCATGCAGTAATAGTAATAATACTCACAACAATATGAATTGACAATATTATTTTGACCTAGTGCTGCACAACATAGAAAGGGGAGACTTGTATGCGGATGGATGAAAGAGGAATGAACCGAGAACCGGGGATGGTGCGTCATAAGCCGAAGGCGGTGAAATGCCCCTCCCGGTGAGAAGGAAAAGTGGAAGTTCACCAACAACATTCCACCAGACCATCTAAACCAAACTATCTATCTGCAGAAAGCCAAATCTGTAGATTGCTTTGGTCATTGTGAAATAGCCATCAGTGCGTGCTAACCAGTTGGGAAAAAGCTAATCCCTCAGCTCACAGGTGGCGGGCTGGAATCTACCAGTCGCGATACTTATCGCACCCCGTGCTCCGAACTACCCGGCATATGTCAGAATACACCAAAACACCAAGACTTCGATCTTTCTCCTGAATTCCCTCCCGTTCTCTGTTGTCGATCGTCTGTCCTCCTGGCTGCAATACGCAGATTGCTTTTGCAGAGCTGTCGTGGTCCCCAGATCCTCTCCGTCGCTCATCTTTCCGCACCGACCTTTGTCTCATCCCCGCCTTTGCCTGCACTGATGCAGTAGAACTCTTTGAACGCATTGATAGATATAAATCTGCTGGATATACATACATCTCAGTCGCATAACAGTGAGCAATTGCTATACATTTCAGTATGACGTCCGCTCCGACGCCAGAGATGACGCCCGCCGAGGCCGAGTCGGTCTACTTCAACAACTACCCCCCGCCCAAAGCCCTCCCGAAGCATGAAGCCCTCGCTCGAGCTTTTGTCGATTACCACGCCCAAGCAAACCGACGCCTTGTCCTGGTGACATCGGGGGGCACCACCGTTCCTCTTGGTTCGTGGGATGGCTCGTGCACGTGAGAAAGATTCTGACCGTTGTACAGAGAACCAGACTGTTCGCTTCATTGACAACTTCAGCGCGGGCACGCGAGGTGCTGTGTCGGCAGAATACTTTCTTCAGGAGGGATATGCAGTGATTTTCCTACATCGGCAATTCAGTCTGTTGCCATACTCGCGGCATTACAGCCACTCGACCAATTGCTTTCTGGATTTCATGGATGAGGAGGAACCGGTGCCTGATGCCACAGAAACCAACGAGTCGGATCACCGACCGATCAAGGTGCGCAGTGAGTACCAGGACCAAATGCGCGATGTCTTGCGAAAGTATCGTTATGCGAAGCGGAACAACCTCCTGCTCCTGCTTCCGTTCACCACAGTCTCGGAGTACCTCTTCGAGCTACGGTCGCTGGCTCAGCTCATGAAGCCATTGGGTCCCAACGCTCTGTTCTACCTGGCCGCTGCCGTCAGCGATTTCTTTATCCCCAGCGACCGCATGTCTGAGCACAAGATCCAGTCGTCGGAGCTGCCGGACCACTTAACCAAGGACCAGGCAGTTGGCTCGTCGGACATTTACACGGGCGGGATTGAGCCGCAACCGTCATCTCATAGTAAGAAATTGATCATCGATCTGGACCCTGTCCCGAAGTTCTTACATCGGTTGGTGAATGGGTGGGCGCCGGATGGCAGTATGATTGTGTCGTTCAAACTTGAAACGGACCCCAACCTGCTCGTATACAAGGCGCAGACGGCACTCCAGCGGTATGCGCACCATCTGGTGATTGGTAACCTGTTGACCACACGTAAATGGGAGGTGGTGTTCGTGACCCCGGACCCCCCGCACGAGCGCTGGATCCGGGTGCCGAAATCGCGGCGCAGCAAGAGCATTTCTGGCAGTGAGGCGCAGGTTGGTTTGGCCGAAGCCAAGCGGGCGGGCGAATCCACCCAGGCAGAAACCGGTGGGGGCGGGCAGAGTCAGAGACCGTTGGAAGACGAGGCCATCATCTCGGCTGAGGGAGTGGAGATCGAAAGTTTGATCATCCCTGAGTTGGTCAAGTTGCATTCGACCAAAATTGCTCAACACAATGCCAAGTCCTAGACATGGATTTTGGGTCGAGACATCCAAAGTGTGGCGTGCGAGAGGAAGGAGTTTCAAGTGTGCGTTTCTGGAAGCATGACGAATGCAGCTAAACCTGAGGCAGGAGGGTCTTCTCCAGATAGATTAATTAGGGTCCTTAACTCGTTTTTACTGTGTAAGCCGGAAGTTTTCTGTATAGTTAGTTAGCGTAGGAGATGAATTAACTACCGTGTCTCAACCACCATGCTCAAGATGTAACAGTAATTAGTGCTGCTGTCAGATTTAAACAATCAGTCCGTCCAAAGGGGCCAAAATGCCGGATTTGAGGTGAACCAAACACACACCCACACACACATTCCGCCCCTCCCCTTCTTTTCTCGTGTCTCCCTCATCCATTGCGGGAATCTCCTATGTTCATTCCTCTTCCTCCCCTCTCCTTCCCCCCTTAACGCCAGAAACAGCATGATGATGTGATTGATCGACTGAGAGTTTGATTTTGATCCTCTCACCAAAGATGGAGCAACCTCGGAAGTTCTTCAACTTCTGACAGCTTCACCGGTTGACGGGTCTCGTCAGGGGCGGGTTTCAGGTTTGCAGCTCCTCAGCAATCCATGGTTAGGCGCCGCGAAGACCCCCAAAGCTAAGCGATGGATCAAGCTCCATTCTCCAGTCAGACGGTGCCATTCCGATGCTAACGCGTCATCGACAGCTTAGGAGCCCTTCAGATCGCCGGCCAGCGTGGGCCGATCTTCGCCCGTCTACGTGCCTTCCTACGTCGCCATCTCCACGCCCTCTTGTCTCTCCGAACAATAATAATAACCATAACGTGCCTGGTGTCGATCTCGGGGATTTGCTTCCTCGATCTTTTTCCCCTGTTGCTCTTTACTCCTCCTCCTCCTCCTCCTCCTCCTTTCTCTCCTGTTCCTCCCTCCCCCCTCCACCGCCAGGGGACTCCGATCCCTTTGTCTCAGCCCCCTCCGTTCCTGCTTCTCCCCAGGAATTTCCCCGCCGGCAAATAACGACCGAGTGCTCTTCACCCGAAGTATTCTGCATTTTTTTTTGGCGCACAGTGACGACGAAAGATGCATTGACACCTTGTATCAGTCTGGAGGATTCGCTCAATAATAATTTTTCTTTTGCTTGTTTCAAGACTCTATTGCATTCAGTGTCTCGATCCCGCTCCGCTGCAGGTCGGCGACCGCTTCCATCCCAGGCTTTTTAAAATTTCCCCTCACCGCGCGCTCCTTCAAAAATGGCAGTCCGTCGATTTCGTCGCATCACCATCCTCGCCTCCCTCCTGGGTGTATTCCTTCTCTACCACTTTCTCTCCATCCGCCCGGAGCTCTACACCCGCAGCGCTACCCAGCTCCGCACTCCGCAGACCACCCCGCAGAGCGCTCCAAATGAGCCGCCCGAATGCCCCCCTCTCGAGGGGATCGAAGATGTCCTAGTAGTCATGAAGACAGGTGTCACCGAAGCCCTCGACAAAGTCCCGGTTCACTTCCAGACAACCCTGCGCTGCGTCCCGAACTATATCATCTTCTCGGATTTCGAAGAAGAAATCGAAGGCGTCAAAATCCATGACGCTCTCCGCACTATGGACAGCACTGTCCGAGACACCGTTGCCGACTTCAACCTCTACAACCGTCTCCGCGAACAAGGTCGCGCCGGTCTCGAATCAGCCGACTTCGCTGATGAAGCCAACTCCAACATTGGCAAGCCTAATAATCCGGGCTGGAAGCTCGACAAATGGAAATTCCTTCCCATGGTGCAACAGGCCCTCACCTACAAGAATAACGCCAAATGGTATGTCTTCATGGAGGCAGATACCTATTTCTCGTGGCCGACACTCCTCGAATGGCTCTCGCATTTCGATCCTAAAGAACCCCACTACATCGGCACTGAGACCCAGATCGCAGACGTCATCTTTGCGCATGGCGGTTCCGGCTTCGTTGTCTCCAACCCCGCTATGCAACTCGCCTCGAACGAGTACGCGACCCGCACCGTAGAACTGAACGAGTACACCGACTGGCACTGGGCTGGCGACTGTGTCCTAGGCAAGGTTCTCGCTGACGCCGGTGTCACCCTGCGCTACTCATGGCCTATCCTGCAGAACTCCAACGTCGGAGAATTGGACGAGTTCGCCAAGGGATTCTACCGCAAGCCATGGTGCTTCCCCGCAGTAGCATTCCACCACCTGACATCTCATGAGATCCAGGATCTCTACGAGTTCGAGAAACGCCGACGTCGACAGGTAAGCCCATCCCCCATACTCCCGTAACCAGCATACCCCTGCTAACACACAACCCCTCCACACCCAGGCCACCAGCAACATCCTCCTCCACCGCGATGTCTTTAAAGAACTCATCTACCCTGAACTCTCCAACGTCCGCGACAGCTGGGACAACCTCTCCGACGAGGAACACCCCAAAATCACCGACTTCCACGAATGCAAAACCCTCTGCTCCAGCTCCCGAAGCTGCGCGCAGTTCGTCATGCGCGACGGCGTCTGCTTCACGGGCGAAACGCCCCGACTGGGAGTCAGGAACCCGACAGCCCGATCTGGCTGGATCCTCAGCACGGTCGACCACATTATGGACAACGCGCCGCGCTGTCCTCATCCTGACTTTGGACTCTGAGCGTGTTTCCCCCTTCTTGAAATTCGCGGGACGAATTATCCCTTTACCATTATCTTTTCTTCTTCCTCAAAGAACCAAAACACACTCAACAATCAGATTCCTGATTCAGGTGTGTTGTATAACCATGGGCTTGCTTGATTTGATTGATTGATCGAGTTGCTACTAGCATAGTAGCATGCATCATTAACTGCATCGCATCGGCATACGTATATGTATATGTATACGCGATGCTGAAATGGCGTTTGGGAGAGGAGTCGGTGGCTTTTTCTATTCCACTCTTGTCTTATCTTGAGCATCTGCTTTTCTTCCCTGCATCAATACCACGGCGTCTGGGACTGTCGGTACTTTCGTTTCTACTTTTCTGTACTTCACTTGACTTGACTTGTGTGTCTGCGTTCAAAGCCAGCATGGAAGCTAGCGTGTATATATGCTAGCTTGTCACAGGTGTTTAGCTAGACCGAATCGGAAAGATTATGAGATTAAAGCTAGTTGTGGCTCGTAGATGTTAGAATATAGTTTTGGCAGCGTAGCTACACGCGTTGGAAATTTACTGGACTGAAGGCACTCTTGTGGATTCGGGCTGGCTACTTTTATACAACCATATTTACAGCGGTTGGAATAATAGCAATAATAACCTCTCATAGTGATGCCTAAGAAAATGGATTTGTTACAAAACAGGGGAGTCAATAGAGGATAGAAATTAGGAAGAGAAAGGCACGGACACGTGAGTCAAGGCGCCGTAATGTTTAGAGGGGGAGCTTGTGGGTCTTCAAGGCATTGGTCAATGCGCATAATCGTCGCGTTCATGCTCTTCACGAATCGAATGACCTCACGGAAGTATTGTACCGTCGTCGGGCTGAGGAAATGCATGACAGCCAGATTGCCCCCGCGTCTCACGTCTCGAATGAAGGCTTCGCGCTGCTTTTCGGGTGTTTTTGTGTCCGCCCACAGCCAATCCTCAATATCCACACTCCAATTGATGATCTGGGGATCCTTAATATATTTTGCGAGCCGTTGACGGGTTCTCGCACCGAGTGTGCCGAAGGGGGGACGGAAATAGCGACCTGTCAATAATCAGCGGTTTGAGTTCTACAATGATGGTAACCAAGATTTACGTACTCTCAATCCCAAGGATCTGTCGAAACGACTTGATATTGTCCACGATTTCACGGTCAATGGCTTCAACAGTATCCAGTCCTTCCAACCTGTATTTTTCCATTGTTATTATCCAACTGAAGCCAGATGATAGAGGGCCACTCACTTCCGATGCGTATCCGAATGTAGAGCCACCTGGTGTCCTCGCTTCAACATCTCTCTGTAAACACTCGAGAAGTTGGTGTCTAAATCTCTCAATCCCAGCCCTACCACGAAGAACGTGACCAAAATGTTCTCTTCCTCGAGAATCTTCATCACCTCCTGAGCAAATCTCGGCTGCCCATCGTCTATTCCAAACGCAAATGACCCGGGTCGGGAGCATCTCAGTAGCACACGACCATTGTCCTCGCGACGTGGGATCGGGAATCCAGCGGGTACACTACCAGCATTGACAATTTCAACCTTGTAGAGAGTAACCGCTCCAGGTGAGAAGAAGCCGTTGAAGGATACCGATACGGCTCGGGAGTGATCAATGTAGAAATGCCAGAGAGGAATGTATATGTCGTTGCCGCGTGCATATCTGGCAGCCTCGACAGAGTCCCAGGTTTCTGGGAACGGGCTGCGGGTGGAGTCGCAGTGGATGTTATTTTGGGTGAGAGAAACACTGAAGTTGATATGACCGGTAAATTGAACGTGTAAATAGTGGGTTGTCCGGTAGGGTAGCAGGTTGAAGCATGTTGCTGGTGAGAGCTGCGTATTGTAGTTATGGTCGGGATCTGTTGGGTAGAAGCGGACGTAGTTCTGACCGTAGTCGATCTTGAGTCCTTCTAAGCCACCGTGCCAGAAGCCTAGGGTGTTGTGATGTGAGTTATTGAAGGTATCAATGATTATAGGAGCAGTGAGATTGTAGGGGGTGCCGGTGGTGTTGCTGCTGGTTGTGTTGCTCGGAAAGAAGACACGAGTAGCAGCTGAGGTGGCGAAGGTTATAAGTATCAGGAGGATGACGGACTGCTTGCAGGTCACCATGATTGCGCACAATCTTGAATATAAACCACAGCTACCAGTATTTCCAGTGTAGGTTCAGCGTTGCTGATTCTCCAAGGCATGTGTCACCTAAGTCTACGTGAGAGAGCGAAGTCATTTACCGGTTGGCTACATGGTACCCGAGGAAAGAGCAAGTTGGTGCGGTGCACCCGAAGGAAAGCGCATATCTAGGAATTCTAGCTCGCTGAAGCAAAGAAAGACTTTTAGTAGATCGATTACCATTATGTTAAGTCTCCTTACAGCAGGGAAACGACAATTGCTTTTGCCATGCTCCCACCCTGCCTCCCAACATGACCCGCAGTCGGTAGGATCCATCAGGTAGCCCAGATCCATTGTGTCCTTTCACTGGGACAATCAGTTCCAAGCTTCTGTGAGATCCCAAGGCGAGAGATAGGCTGCAAGTCGTCTCTGTGCCATGGAGTCAAACAATCGCACACCAGATCCTGCCTGGTGAATCATGATATGATCTCTAAAAAGAAAGAAGTGGAAATAGACGCAGTCACCGAATCTCCCACGAGCATGGCCTTTCACTCACAAACATCTGTCGTTTTTCTCCTTTGTTTTTCTTTATTTTCACCCATTTTCCTCTCCATAGCTTCGATCAAAGAAACGGATTTCCAGGCGACATGCAGTTGGTAAAAAGGCGTGGCAAAGTCTGGACGTGGATTAAAACTCCCACTTGGAGTTATCTTCAGCCTCTTCGGCGTCATCAGACTCCATCGGAATTCCTCCTCCTCCCCAGGCATCGGTGTTACCACTGTTGTCTTCTCCCCCACTCATCTCGTCATCAGTATCGTCGTCAAATTTGACAACATCATCCGAAGGACGATAAGATTCGAGGAAGTCAGGGACAGTTTGTTTGTTCTCGATGAGCAGTTTCACCAGATCTGGGGCGAGGTCCGCATCATTGTCATGGTTGTAGAACGAGGTGGCGAGGCCCTCATTACCAATGCGTGCGGTGCGTCCTGTAAAGACTTAGCGAATTCCATAGTTATGCCTTTGAATTGTGGGACGGTGACGCACCGATTCTATGAACGTATTCCGTGATACCACCATGCTGAACCCGTGGAAGATCAAAGTTGATGACATGCATGACATTCTTAATATCGAGACCGCGAGCAGAAACCCCGGTTGCCACAAGGATGGGGCACTTTGCAGTGCGGAACGCACGCCTTGACCGCATTAACATTGGAGCACGAGGTATGAAGGGTAATAACTTACAAGGCATCTTCCCGCTCACGCTGGGTGCGATCAGAGTGAATAGAGGTACTCGGGAGACCCATGTTGTAAAGGTAATCATCCAAGAAGTCTGCCTGGGTCTTGGAATTGACGAAAATCAGTGTACGCGAAGGCGGCATAGCCAGAAGCAGGTCATAGAGGCATTGCTTTTTGAGAGGAGGTTCAGCGTAGATGATCTTGTTAAATGCACTGTTAGTAAATTCCTTGCTACAAGTGCCATGCATGCTTACGTTCTGGTCAACGTTGGCATGAGTGCTGCCAGGCCTTCCGATGCGCACACGGACATGGTCTTCTGCAAGGTAATTGCGCGCCAGCTTACGGCAGTCCTTGTTGAAAGTGGCCGAAAACATCATGTAGCGGTGGTCAGCGTCCTCATTGATGTCTTGAAATCGTCAGTATATGGAAATGCCTATAGTGTCTGAAACGACTTGCCTCCTCCAGACATGATTTTAGCAAAGTCGGACTCCCAGTCAGACTGCAGAAGTTCGTCTGCTTCATCGATGATAGTGTACCTGCGGTCATGTTAGTGACATTCGCACTAAATGTGAGGAACCTACTTGACACGACGAAGAGAGAGAATGTGCGGCTTGTCCATGAAATCCAGCAACCTGCCTGGAGTTGCAATAAGGATATCGCAGCCACGCTGCAACTCCTCTCTCTGGTCACGAACCGGCGCACCACCGTACACAACGCAAGGACGGAGCATGGAGCGGTAGCATAGGCGTCGCGCTTCATCAAAAATCTGGGTTGACAATTCACGGGTAGGAGCAACAATGAGCACCAGTGGTTCAGCCCGCACAGAATCGGCGCTTGGATTGTAGCCAGCTGCGACATTGGGACGCGGAGCTGCCAGCTTTTTAGCTTTTCCCATCAGCTGGGACAGAACCGGGATCAAAAATGCGGCAGTTTTTCCAGACCCTGCTTCTGTTAGCATGGCTCTGCTATGTGAGGGTCTTCACCTACCAGTCTGAGCAATGGAGATTAAATCATGGCCAGTAAGGACCGCGGGGATTGAATATGCTTGAATTGGGGTCGGGAACTCGTATCTACACAAGCGAATATTCTCGCGCATGATAGGATGAAGGCCGGCATCATCAAACTAGACATTGTCAGTCGAATTCAATCATGTGGGTACCATGACACGACTTACGTTCTTGATGGGACTTGGTCTCTCACGACTTTCCGCGATGACCTCGATGTTCTGGATACTAACATGATTCAGACATGAATCTATAGCATGTTAAGATATTGCCAACTTACTTTCCGATCTTCAAGCCGGTTCGGTTAGTATATTCGCTGCGGAACAGCATCTCTTCGAGCTCAGGGTTCCGTGGGCCAACGTCCCCAAATTCATCCTTCCATTCATATTTTGCAGCTTGAGCGGCCCACTCAGGGAGCTCCTCCTGGTTGTCACCCTGGGGCTGATTGAGTGGCGGAAGAGTAGAAGTATACTTTTCGTAATCGTAGCCTTTGGGAGTCGTCCAACCCTTCTCGCGGGCAGCGTTGGAAGCTTCGGTAGGATTACTGGATTGATTGCCCGTGCTTTCTTTGAGCGCGGTGCTCATATCCGAGACGTTGAAGCTGTCCATTGTTGCGCGGTAGGGACAATGGCAGGTTCAAACACGCGTAATCCGAATGAATCTGGATTTATCTAGATAGAGACGGTTGGTTAGTGAGGGATATTCTTAGTAAGAAGTGGTGTTATACTTACAGAGAACGAGTATCGTCTCTACTCCTTGAAGTGTACCGAGTGCGCCTGAGATGGGAATTGGTCTTGGAAAGAGGAGTGAGAGGGAGGATGTGAGGGGAAGTAAAGCTTTGGGAGATAGAAAGCTTTCTCAAACGAACGAGACGCGAGACGCGTAGGAGAGATGGCAAGAGCAAAACAATGACAGATAATGGAAGGAAATTTTATGGAACACGGTGCTGAAAATGGAAATTGGGCAGTGAATGTTGCTGGTCTGCAGGACTCCAGGTTGCCAGGGGAGAGAAGAAGAGTTGCGGGGAATAAATGGACTAGCAGAACAGCAAGCACCCCTCAGGTGAGCAGGTAGTAAAGTAGTAGTCAAGTCAAATTCATTTGATGCAG